TTAAAACTAACTTATATTTTTTTACAAAAGCACTTATCAACTTATTATAAGTCAGAAGGGTTTAACTTCTTCAAAAAACTCTTTATTACCGGTTTAACACTGGTATAAATTGTTTATCCAAACACTCAAAAATGCTTATTACCGATATCACACCAAAATAAATCAATAAGTTGTTTTTATAAGCAAGACACCCCATAATCTAATCTGATTCTAACATTAAAGAAGTATAAACAGCTTTCCTCGTTAATAATTTCAGAGAAACATTCTTTTTTTGTAATTTCATTTCAATCAAATAATGAAAAGAGATTGAAATATATAAAGAACATGATTGATTGGTCAATACATGAGCTGTGTGAGAGTCAAATTATAACAGTCTCAAGATTTATAAATATACAATTTTTATTATTATATCTTTTAAAACAATATTTTTAAATTAAATAAATTACATTTTTAAATAAAAAAATGATATTTAAATTAATAATTTCAATCCTTAAACATCCAAGTTACATCTGGTACTCACCTGTTGACCCAGTATACAGAATGAGCCATCCATCCCCCCCGACCCCACCCCCCCTACCACTACCCTACCCCTACCCTACCCCTACCCCTACCCCCCACCACCCACACCCACATTTTTCTTATAACATGCCATTGCTGCTCCATGCTTTATATAAATCTTCACTTTTTTCATTTTCACAAACTGAAAATGGCGAAATTCAAGCTTCGGATCTTCCAATCCTGCCGATCTAAAGATCCGTCAACTCTGCCGGAGCACCCCGTTCCGGCATTTCAACGCCACAATATCTTCACCGTCGATTTCCCACCGCCGCCGACCTCCAAACAACAACAACAGCCCCATCGCTCTTCCTTCAAAAGTCAGGTCTCATCCGCCTTTGGATGCGGTTCTAAATCCGGTGATCAGTCTGACTCCGAATACTTCCAGTGGCAAGAGGACGACCAATGGCATGTTGTGGCGAAAATCTACGATGTTGAGTCACCTCGCCGGAAAATCTATAACTCATCCGTTTCCGGTGGTGATACCGATGACGACGGTTTTCCGCTCCCGTTGCTTCCTTTGCCTCCGGTGGACAAGAAGAAAAGGCGTCGTGGGAGGAGAGTGAAGTTAAACAAATTAAGAAACATCAGTACCTCCTCCGTCGATAGCGGCCTTTTCAGCAGCGAATACAGCATAGACGAGCGAGGTGAAGGCGGAGATGGCGAGGGAGATGGGGAGGAAGACGAAACGGAAACCCTAATTTCCTCTTCTAGAAGCTTCTCAACCGACTCATCAACAGATTTCAACCCTCAGCTAGAAACCATACGTGAAAGCGCGCCAATTTCACTCTCCAACCGCTACAAACTCAAAAAGAAGCGAACTTCGTCATCGAAACGTAACAACCGAGACGGCGGAGGAGGAGGAATGATGATGATGATGTGCAGAGGCGGTTCCGGTACTTCTCCTGAATGGGGATCTCCGGCGAGACTGTCGGCGTTCAACAAACTGATACCATGTAAAGTAGAAGGGAAGATGAAGGAAAGCTTCGCGGTGGTGAAGAGGTCGGAGGATCCATACGAAGACTTCAAGAGATCGATGATGGAGATGATAATGGAGAAACAGATGTTTGAAGAGAATGATTTGGAGCAACTTTTACAGTGTTTCTTGTCGTTGAATTCAAGATTTCACCATGGCGTGATTGTGGAAGCTTTCTCGGAGATTTGGGACACCATGTTTCGTGATCATTGAACTTGCTGTAGATCCATTTCCAAACTCAAAAGTCAACAAATTCTATGTTTCATGTCATCATCTAACTTATATATATAT